CGCAGAGCCGTAGCATCCCTTCCAAAGCAAATTAATGTGTAAGTTTTCTAATGCATTAACTAAACCATCATTGCTAGCATGATTTTTAAATAATTTGTCAGATTGGCAGCCATACATGCCCAGGTCAGCGGGTCAGCATGGCTGCCTTGTCTGCCAAGCAAAGAGCCGTTCATTGGCAGCGTTGGACTAGGACATTATATTATCTAAGAAAAAAAAAACAAGCTATTTATTGAAGGCGGCTCTTTAATTTATTTTTTTCTGACACAGTAATCATAATATTTTACTGTTGCACTGCAATGCATAGACTTAATTGCTTTTGGCTCATAGTATTCGTCCTGTAAGTTCATCAATTTTATCAGGTATTGAATGGGTTTTATCTTTCAATTGGAAACACGAAGTTTTAAGAAATAATTTAACAGTTTGATCAAGATTTTATTTGACATGAATTAGTTTGATGTTGGTATCATTGTGTTCGTCTTATAGAGATTTGTCACCTCTCAAAAGAGCCCTTATGGATGGTGGGCAGCACAAGACTTAAATACTGTTTTTCGGTCATACTCCTAGCCAATGTGGGACTATTTATCCGTGACATTCTTCTCCACCCAATCACGTGATGCCCTCGATCGGCTCCACCGAGGGTCCCACTGGACCATGGAGAGTCCACACACCTGGCAGACAGTAACCTGCTCTGATAGCACTTGTCACCTCCCAAAAGAGCCCTTGTGGGTGACATGCAGCCAATGACTTAAATATTGTTTTTCGGTCCTACATCTAGCTAGTGTGGGACTATTTGTCTGTGACATTCTCCTCCACCCAATCACATGATGCCCTCGTCACGGATCGACTCCACCGAGGGTCCCACTGAACCATGAAGAGTCCACACACCTGCAAACAGTAATCTGCTCTGATACCACTTGTCACCTCCCAAAAGAGCCCTTATGGATGGTGGGCAGCCCGATTAGTTTGACTGTAAATTAATTGAAATTAATTTTTTTTTATCAAAAAGTATCGCTTTAATGAAAGTTCTTCGATAGACATAATTACATGATAGAGTTGGTATTTTTTTAATAGTTATTTAAAATCAATATGATGCATATCCGAGCACTTATAAACTTTCAATAAAAGATGCCATTTTCTACACAAAATAAGATGCAAGAAGATACATATTTTTTTTCTTATAATTTGTCACCATAGCTAAGTTTTAACAATTTAGGGTCCGTTTGAGGCAGCTTGTGCGTTTCAGGATAAGCTGTGTGAGGGTTGTGTGTTCCAGCGGGCACCCCAGCCCGCAGAGGTCGACCGGCGACCTGCGTTTCGTTAAAAAATCCAAACGCAGTTTAAGATAAGCTGACGAAACGCGCGAACCAAACGGTATGACGGCGTTTTGAAAACGCCGCCTGCACTTATAAGCTTCTCCAAACAGACCCTTAGGGTTCGTTTGGGGCAGCTTGTGCTGCTTATCCTGAAACGCGGCCCGCGGGCCGGCTGTAGGGGTCGACCCGTGGCCCGCGTTTATTGTAAAAATCCAAACACAATTTCGGATAAGTTGGCGAAACACGCGAACCAAACGGTACGACGACATTTTCAAAACGCCGCTCGCACTTATAAGCTGCCCCGAACGGACCCTTAGCCGGCAAAGTGCTATGTGGCAAGGACCGAGTACGAACAGTTGGGACACATTTTGTAGGATTACATTGAGCGGCATGACCAATTTCAACACACTTTTTATTTATTTATCACCAAAAAAAAGAAAAGACGCCGGAAGTCTGTCTATAAATAGGGAGTCTAAATTTGAAAAGGAGAGTCAATTTTTTAGAGAAAAAATATCTCCGGGAAAATCTCTCACTCCTTTTTCAATTCTTTTTCTCTCTCTACTAGCATAAATTATGGATAACTCATAATTCAACATTCTGAAATGTGTGGTCGGCATGAACATAAGGCTTTAGTTTGAAATTACAAATAGAGATATGCAAAGGGAAAATATATCAAATAAGAGGAAATATAGATAAAATTAACTCAATCCACCTCACATATAATAAGATATTTGCAAATAAAGAAAGAGAAAATCTCTAATATCTATTTTATTCATTTTATTTTATTATGTTTATACTTTTGGTCAGCACCTATATATAGAGAGAGAGACAGAGGAGAGAAAGAGAGAGAGAGAGAGAGGTTTTTATTTACCGACCATTCAAAAATTTAAAAAAAATATTTTGATCACCTAAATTTTAAAATTTACATTTCAACCACTCAAAACTTTTATTTCCTTTTGAAATAAGAAACGATCAATCCATTATATTTAAAATTTTGGGTTATTTTTGGGTGGTTGAAATGTAAAACTTTTAAGTTTAGTTGGTCAATCCCTATGCATTTATAAACTATCATATTTAGGACACACATCACTCACATCTTCAATATCACATCAAAAATAGCATCATTTCCATTTTCTAAAACTGAAATACCTATTTTTATACATAGATTTAAAACACCAATGCTATGCATGTAAATATGAACGTCTATGCGTGAGATAAGGCAGTCAAAACGGCTTGTTGTTCACGAATAGCTCGTGCTCGGCTCGTTAAGAAGCTCGTGTTCAGCTCGTTTAAATTTTGCGATAAAGTTAAATTACTTTGTTTTGTAGTTAGGGCTGTCAAAACTGCTCGTTGTTCGCTAACAGCTCGTGTTCGGCTCGTTAAGAAGCTCCTGTTCCGCTCGTTCGCTAAGTTAACGAGTCGAATATGAACAAAGATTTGTGTGTTCGTGTCCGGCTCGTTTTGACTTGAAATACTACTCATCAAGTATATATATTAATGAGTAGTATTTTTAAAAAAATTAATTAACTACAAGTCTACAAAGATTTATAATCAATTAAAACTATTACTTGAGAAAATATGATAAAATTATTAAATTAGATTAAAATGATGTTTTAATATAAATAATAATTTTTAAATCTTGCTCAAACCCTTATCGTCTTATGATTACATGATTAGGATTGTTAAAAAGACTCTTTGTTCGTGAACAGCTCACGTTCAGCTCGTTAAGCAAACGAGCCGAACACGAACACACTTTTTGAGCTCGAAATATAAAAGAGCCGAACACGAGCTAAGCATGATTCGCTCGTGTTCGGGTCGTTTACACCCCTAGCGTGAGATGTGTGTATAAATACGAATTGCGTGCTATGCATGTAAATTTCCTTATTTTCGACAGCTATAACAACACAATCTAAATACCAATAGTAATACATACAGAAGCAAAAAAGTTACGACATAATTTATTTGTCCTTCAAACCGACGGAAAGATTAAAGACATATACAATTTCTGACATTTTAGCTTGTCGAAAACCTAAAGCAAAATAATAATAATAAAAAGGCTTCCTTTATTCTCATATCTTCTACACCTATAATAACATATTCAACATGCAGAGCAAAGGTTTCATAAACACCAAATATAAATAAAAACCAACATAGGATTAGAGCTGTCAAAATGACTCGTTGTTCGCGAACAGCTCGTGTCCGGCTAGTTAAGAAGCTCGTGTTTGACTCATTCGTTAAGTTAACGAGTCGAACACGAACAACACAAACAAACATTTTAAAAAAAAATATATTAACTAAATGACTACAAAGATTTATAATCAATTAAAAGTATTAATTAAGAAAATAGAATAAAAATTATTAAACTAGATTCAAATGATGTTATAATATAAACAATAATTTTTTAAATCTTGCCCCTTACCTTAACTTCTTATGACTACGTGATTAGGGTTGTCAAAATGATTCTTTGTTCGTGAACGGCTCGTGTTTGGCTTGCTAAGCAAATGAGCCGAACATGACCCGAACACGAACATGCTTTTTGAGCTCGAAATATACACGAACACACTGTTCACGAGCGAATTTCAAACACGAGCTATTCTCGGCTCGTTTACACCCCTACATAGGATAGTAGAAGAATACTTATTCAAATTAATATAATTTAATAGGGTATATAAAGCACTTTTAAGAAAATACAATCTCCTCCTCAAAACGCAACACAATAATCTTACTATTCTAGGCGGCAATCCGTGTATTATGGGCACACATTCATGCAACGTCTTTCTTAATTAGAACATCATCAATTGATCCAAAATTGCATCCATAAATGGAATGCTCCGCCTAATACGCCTTACTCTACGCACCAGTGCAATATAATTCCCCTTTCTTCTTGCCTCCTCTTGCCTATATATGTCTAAATTTCATATTCTTCAGCCACATGACCTTCTCCTGCCAGTAACTAAAATATTAGCAATTGTTAATATATATCTCTAAACTTACATTGATTCAAATGTATTTTTACAATAATGTATGTTCTTTTCGGCTCGTGTCTTCTCGTCTCTATCTCCTTGATGTTGATGTGCTCTAGTGTGCAGCTTCTCATATATGGGTCTCCACGTAGTATTCCTTCTATACACAAAATATTGAGCTAGATATTGTATCACATTTTGCATGAGATTTTCTTATTGAAGCTTAAATCATTCATTGTCATTCTTTTTTTGTAGTCACTATGTGTCATAAAGCCACCACTTAACCATTCACCTTTTGTGCTCAATGTAAGTTATGACGTGTTATAGAGCTACCGGTATAAACAGAGATGACCATGCCACTGAAATACGCTTTACTTGCTCTCTTTCGAGTGTGCTAAAAAGTGCTTAAGACCTTACCGAGACATACCTAAATCTGCTCTCTAAATTAAGCCGACATTTCTCATACTTAATATTTTATGAAATTTGATGGATACTCACAGGTAGTGTGTGCATATATATATATATATAGTGTTCAGC